ACAAAGGATACATGCTGGGTATTTGAGGAAAGACTGTGATTGAACTTACAGAATTTTTGTAAAAGAAACAGCAGTAGTTAAATTTAGGATTAAATACTTTAAGCTGTACAATAACTGAAAAGTATCTTAGACATTCCACACGAAGGATCACATTTCTATGTCTTATTCCTAACTTGAAAAAAATTCTTTTTAGGTCAGTACAACTTAAGAACGTGGTTCATGCTATAAACTGTTCATCAGCCCTGCTTGGTTGTTCACTGAAAGCAGGTCAAAGACAGGGTACATCAGCACATTGATCGTATATGGATAAAAACAAAATGCACAGTCTGACCCCCAGTGCCATTTTCTCTGACCTCAGCCAAGTAGCAATGCATTTCAAAACTCTTACAGGAGTGTTGTATTGTACCAGTCAATTTCTGCAGATGAAGACTGAACATTCGTGCGAGAGAAGCAACTAATGCTTCCTAATGTCCTAAGAGGTTTTGCCCTATGTCCTACTCTCTTTGTGAGATTGACTTGAGAAGAGCAGGTCAATCTAATTCTTGCACTGTCAGGAAAACAGTCATAAAAACACGAGTAATACAATGTTAGTAACACATCTGAGTGACAGGGCTGCTTGTTGGATAAAGCCATGACAATCCTCTGCTACTTTATTAGAAAGCAGTGCTGGAACACTCACTAGAGATGATCACGCGACTCAATGAGATAGCTGTGCATTTATGAGCTCATAATCAGAAATTCATCATGAGTAACAAATTATAAACTGCAAGATGTCAACAGTTAAAAGTAATAAATATTTATAATAATTTAAAAACTATCAGGCATTTGGTGTTCCATCTGGATTTTGAAGAAGAATGGAGAACCATAGAGATTCAGGATTCCCTCTTCGCTAATGTAAGACTGAAACCAATATCCTGTAGTTGTTCCAACACAGAAATAGGAACTTGGAAGGTGGATGCATTTTTTAAAATGCTGAAATACAATATTTCCAACTTAAGGTGTCCTTTTTTTTTTGTCACCCACAGGGGTAGAATGATTGACTGGAGTCCCCAGATTCTCTAGCTCTAACTTTTTAACTCCACGTTCTAAACTGGGTATCTTGGAAACAGCTTACTCATCTGCTTCCAACTGGCTATATACCTTGTATATAGCCTTGTATACCTTGGAGCTGGAGACCCTGGAAAGTTCATCCAACACCTTCAAAAGTGTTCAAAAAGCTTCAAATGTTAGCTCTGCAGAACAGAATTTGGAAACTGAGTCCCAGTGCGTATGGATTGTGTACAAAAGGATGTCAGCAGCCTGCTAGGAATCAAGGCATGTTTCCACACTGGAAACACTAGTCAAAATGCTTTATTTGAAACATTTCATATCCAATAAAGATTTCAACAAAATGCTGCTGAAAATTTTCCAGTCAATTGTATTCCTGAACTCTCCTGTCAGGCACTGAAATAAAAAGTGAAAGAAGAATGGTTTTCCTACCTCTTGATTCTCATGCTGCCACCATAAAAATGTTGAAGTGCTGCATCTTCCGAGCACTTCTCTGTAGTATGAAATATTCCATTCTGTGGCTGAAGTAATTCAAATACAGAATAATTACATGATTTTCCCAAGGTGATAACATTTTGTCAGAAAACTCAAAAAGAAAATGAACACACATAGTAGTCAATTCTGCTATCAGAGACAAAAAAAAAAAAAAAGAAATAAAATTTAAAAAAAAAGCTTGAGGAAATGAAGAAAATTCATCTGCCCCTTCAAAAGTAAGTGGACTCAGAAAAGCTACAATAAGTTTGTGACTGTATTTCATAACCTACAATGGATGTAAAAAGATCATTAAGAAGAAAAAAGTGCTTTTAACTGATATGTTCCTAGACTGATCTGTCCAAATTTGACAAAAACAATAGATTAATTATTTTAGTGTGCACCTATCATCTGTATGATTTGACTTCTGGAAGGTGACATCCATGAAGAATCTGTACTACATTCATTGGAGTTGATATAACAGATGGAAACATAGCTAGAAAGATGCACTCTGAAACTCAATATACCACACTCAGGTATTTTAACAAATTACTTTTAGATCTAAAATGTTTGGACAAAACATTGAAATTGCATCCCAGGCCTTCCTCTGGAAACCCTGAAGACTTATCGAAGGAAGGTGTTATAAGGTTGCACTGTGTTATCTGAAATACAAGTAAACTGAAAAAAATGTACTATCTGAGCACTTAAAGTACCACTGTAAAATATACTGAAACTTTTTATTGATTTTGCAAGATACAAGAGTAGTTGATTACCAAAATCAACAATAAAATCGTTAGTTGGTAAGCAATAAAACAGCATTCTGGTTACACCGTATAAACACCACAAACTTGTAGATATTTGTCTTTTTATGTAAGCAGTGACACTTTATTTTAGATTATACTGTTAATTTTTCATGAGTGGCAAACGGTTTACTTTTTTGTAACCATTTTAAGAAGTTCCCACTCTCTTCTTCATCCCTGTTACTTTGTGTCCCACAATTAATTGGTGTTTGTATAAATGAAGGGGAAGACTCTCCATGTAGAAGGCAAGAAAATTGGCCTTGAACACCAAGCAATTGTGCATCTGGGTCTTCTGAAGGGGAATATAGGAAAACAATTATGTGTGTGTGTGTGTACTATTTTCACATCTCTGGTCAATCAGGCAACGCAAAATTAAAAACGCTTTTTTAAAAAAAGTATGGATTGAATTATAGTAACATATGCATATTTGTTCTTAACTTGCTTCATTTTTGATGCTCTGGAATAAATATTAATTCTGTAAACTGCTGGGAATGTAGATATGGGTATGTATCTTGGGCTAAAACTTCTGTTCAAGACCTGTACATTACAGAATAGACCCATACCTCTCAAGTGAATCCAGTGAATCAGGTGAAGGGGTTAAGACAACAGAGGAAACACTCCAATCAGCTGGTTGATGAAAGGACTCTGTGCTCAACTTTATGCACATGTTCAAAACAAACGAAACACTGAGAAGCATCAATTCAGCCAAACACGTAAGCAAATGAATGACCTTAATGAAGTGAATGTTCCCATCAGGATCAATAAACTGGCCTGTGCTATTGTCATAAAGTACACTAGCATAAATACCCCTGCTGAAAAACAGAAGGCAGTACTACAAAAAAAAAGAGCTACGAACGTAAAAAGTAAGAAAGAAGAGAAGTGAAAATAATAACCTTGACGCAAGGTGAGGCAAGGATGAGTCAGAGCAGATAGCACAAGGGATGGAGACATTCAGACATTAAAATTCCAGTAGTTTGTGCAATAGCTAGGACACATAATTCCTGTTCCTTTATTCTTAGAACACTGAGTGATCTGAAAAAACAGTGCTCTTTTAATAAACAGGAATGACGGTAAACTTATGCTTAGATCCTTTTCTGTAATTCACACCCCAGAGCAAGGAATGAGCTTAGGAGTTCCTCGGTAGTCTAAAGCCTTATGCCCAACCACCTCCTTGCAGTTGGCAGGAAGAACAGGGGACATGTCTAGGACATCTATTAGATGACCTGGGATTGCCACAGTGGACTCTCAGAACTGTCCATTTAAGATGTGATGGTGCCATGGCTCTTCTAATCTGGTTTTGGAGATATGCATAGAATAGCCTGCTGCCAGAATCAACACCTATTTCTTAGGTGCCCTGACCACTTTGCAGCACTAATTGAGGATCAGGCCCATCACTCTGAGGAACATGAAAAATACCTTGCCGGTGCCCTTTTAAAATGTCAAATTCTCACTTTGTTTTTTGCATATTCTTAAGTACTTTAAACTAAAATCGCCTTTGGTATCATTTTCAGAGCGGCAGTCTCTCTGGGAACAGAGATTTTTTGTTTGACCTTTACATTTATCGTTAAAGAACATATTTTTATTCCTGACACTTGCTTGGAGAAGGTTTACAAAATTTGTCTCTTTCCATAGCTACACCGCACTTCCTCCTCTAGTGATCCTAGCAGCTACACAAGGCTTCCGTGGGGTAAGTGCTGATATGCACCTGACCACTCCAGGGCAGTGGAACAAATTTAGGAACTGACAATGCCATCTTACGGTGGAAATACAAACTGCAACTGCAGACTGTTCAAGAAAACACAAAAATGTTTCCCTCGACGGGTAAAAAGAGAACATTGAACGGTTAAGGATGCAGCTGGGGCAGGAGGGGGGATGAATATCAGTAGCCTTTTTAAAGTGTTTAACAACAACTAGATTAATTTAAGTGCAAAAACTCAAGACTGTGCTTCTGAAAACAACCAAATAAAGAAAAATAGAAAGAAAAGGGGAAGAGAAATGCTCTTACATTCTCTTCTCCTTGACTTGCTTTCATTTTCTCTCCCCTCTCCTCTAGCTCCTTTAGCACAGAACTGAACAGAACACACCCAACATGAAGGATGCTGCAAATGGCCAGCACATAAGCTTCCTCACCAACTGGGCTTAAGCAGCAAACTCAGACCATGTGTTACGTCATTGTTAGGTCCAATTTGACCATTACAAACAAGACTGAAGTGAGGAAATGGACTACATCAGTGCTCACTTTCTGACTGTGCACAAAGCATTTCTACACATAAGGGTAGCAGCAATTTATCCTGGAAGTTAAGGTATGCAGCCATTACCACTGGGGCAGTTAGATGCCCAGAGATCCAGATTACTGTCCAAAACAAGGGGGTATGAGGACCACTAAATGCAGTAATGTGCATCTATATTAGAAAGTCTGTGAACACAGCCTGCAAATTTCTATGGGAACCACATGGATTTTTATCACGTTATTAACCTCAAGCTGTAACCCTAATGCCTGGTTCCTGAAACATTCCTGGAGGAATACTGGACAAAACGAGGGGAATTGTTACTAGTAAAAAAAATAATAATAATAACAGAAACATGTTGGTTTTCAAACGGCAAAATACATAGCCCAGCTGAAGATTGTCTCCTCAATGTAAAGGCAGCTGTGGGGGAGCAGGTGTGTGAGTGTCAGGGTGATGCTACTTTTACCACTTTTGCTCTTAGTGATGAGGAGCTGGATTCCAGCAAGACCAGATCACTGGAGTTGTGACAGATGCCAATGAGAAGCATCCTGGGGCACGGTGGGCTGTGGTTTCACTCATCTATTTTTTCAGCGTTGGCTTGGGGTTTTGTTCCTTTATGTCTGTTTGTTTTTTTTTTTTTTTTCTTTCTTTTTTTTTTTTTTTTTTCCTAAAGATGCAGTGAGAGTTCCTATGTTAAAACAATGTTATTAGAATTTAAAACAAAGCTTGTGACAGTGAAGAATTGTGAATTTAACCTGTCCTCTTAAGTGAAGCTTGCTAAGTCTTGAGCTGGCAAAGACTGTGTAAATGTGCCTTCTGGAGTCATTTATCTAATTTCTACATTTTTTTTCTTTTATTTTTCTCTTAAGAAATTTAAAATGAGGAAGTTCCCTGAAATAGAGAGAAAAGTTGCCCAGGAGAAATAGCACAAATACTGACTAGTTACATAGAGTGACGATGACATTTGACTTTATATTTTCTATGACAAAAATCAGATCCATTAAGCTGTAAGCTATCTCTCTTTGTCTTGACAAGCTGGGGAAAACATAACACCATGACCAAAAGGCCTTAATTCCTCATCCTGCCCTTAAAACACTGATTTAAATTTGATGCATTGAGGTTGAATGCATTTTAAAGAGTAAATATTAAAGAATTTAAGGTGTTATTATTTTTGTTCATATGTGTCCATTGTGAAATGTATGAAGTGCTGTTGAAATACATAAATGTAATCTTTTTTTTTTTTTTAAAGAACTTTATTATTTGAGCAGACTGACAATAAAACTAATAAATAAATTGGGGACCGGTAAAGAAGGGTATGATATAGAAGGAATGTGGTAGATATGACCACTGCTCTAATTTTGGTAACGCTACCTGTAATAATGTTGCCTTCCTAGGACAACTAGAACTTGTCCTACTTTTCCAAAATATTCTAGCGTACCTCTGAGTACTACAGCTCCATTAGAATTGCAGGATTTGGCTCTGTAATTTATATAATTAGGAAAGCACTCCTAGAAAACTGGGGTAATATGGAAAATAATGTTAATAACTTAACACCTTGTGATCTCCAGAGTCAATTCTGAATGAATCCCTCTGGAGGAAGCACCTGAAATAACTTATTTGAAATTAAACAGAATGAAAAGCCAAGGAACACACAGCAGAGCCCACTATGCTTTGCAAGTCTAGGAATATTAACTTAAGTGTCTGTTAGTTTTGCAGTAAAGCTGTTTAGTTTTCTCTGTGACTTCACAGCCTGATTCTTTTGTGTAACTATTTAAATATCACATGAAGACCATGTTGGTGATGAATACTGAGGCGCTCACAGAGCTGCAAGTGTCAAAATTAAAGTAGTTTGTTCAATTTTCACTCATCATTTTGTGTATTACTGTTGCTTTTAAGTTATCACATACCGAATATTGTAATTCACTACCTAAAAGAGATACCTTTAAGAAAAATAACTTTTCTAAACCAAGAAACACATATCATTTATTTATATTTCCTTTTTTGTCACAGATAATGTTCATAGAACTTTCACCCTGTTCTCACAGATGTTTCTGTATTTTACAACGAAGAGGTGTTAGTTTAAAAATATAAATAAAAGTTTAGCCCCAGCTCAGAAATTTGAATCCGACCTTCTCTTGCTCCTGAGCAGTACATGCTACCCACTATGCCACACAGCTGTGCTACATTTTTCTTGTTCTCCTATGGTGATGAATCTAAGCAGTCTGTGTATTAGCTTCAAAGTCACAAGGGTCACATAAATATCTGCAAGATAGGCAGACAATGATGCTTCTGGAATTTTTGAAAAATAAGGGGAAACAACAAAAAAATAAAGCAGCCCATCTACAATCTAAATGAAAGGTTGTTTTCCTTTTAGCACGTGCACACAAACCTTGCAAGGAGAACATTCTATCATTCTTACTCTTCAAAAAATACCTCTGGGCCCTGTTATAACATGGAACTATCAGAAGCCCAAAATCCCAACTCACACAGTTTATTACTGCAGTGTTTGGAAATTTATTCCAATGAATCAGAGACAGAAGAAAAAAAGAGAAAGAGAGAGAGATCCCAGTTCATTCAAAGACTGTCCCACAGCTGCTTAAGGTTATAGGCTGATTCACTTGGCTTCTTCTGTTTTTTCACAGCTAACAGAGACCTTGGATGCTCTGAGACTCTCACATGCCAATCAAAACAAATTCTTAATAAACAAAGAAATCTTCTCTTTGAAATCTAAAGAGAATACTGCTGAAGAACAACAGGTAAGAAGTATTTTCCTTTCTGACAAAGCAGCAGTAACCCTCTTAAAAGAATTCAGGAAATATAAAACTATCCTTTTCTCACGCTACAAACTGGATTTTTTTTCCCCTCATTATCTTCACAGAGCGAGCTGTTTGTGAATAGCAGAAAAACAACTGTTTGTTCATCCTTAGTAATGTGAAGTCAAGCAGCTTTCTGCATCATTCCCACTCCAGGACTTGCCTCTGTGAAAGCTATAGCAGGGCTTCAAAGAACAATTGCTTCAGTTTTCACTCCTTCTAAGGCCTGGGGACGTTCCACTTCTGATCACAGTACAGCTTTATAAATCTTGAGTAACAGAGACAGTAGGCTGAGAGCAAGAATAGGTTTAGTTTTCCTTTGGAAAATTTGGTTTTGCTGTGAAGGCTCAACTTTTGAAACACAAAAGCAAAAGTGGTGATTTAGGTTTCCAGATAGTGTGAGAGTACCCACAGTGTCTTCAAAAACTATTGATAAATGACGAACCCTTCCCACTGGGCATGAAGGAGCTAGAGGAATGATTAATCTATCTCATCTCACATTTCTCTGTGCTTGCCTGCTGCAGCAGTCTGTGATTACAGTCAATGCTTTCCATTGCAAAGACTCTAGCAGACACTGTAAAATCTACTCACTTCAGATTCCAAAAGACCAGGTCAAAATTCTGTGTGTTACCCAAACAGCCACTGTGATCCTCAGAGATTTAGGGGTACAGATGGCTCAGCCAAGGAGAGATACTGTGCTCAATTTACAGCTATCCATTGACTGAGATCAATACCAAAGTCTGAGACACCTTGTTACACACTGATTATAAGGAGTTCCATGTGTCCCCAAAAAATTAGAACAGCTGTAAGAAACTGGGATTTATGAAAAAGCACACAGGAAAAGGGAGAGAACACACCACTACCCTAAGAGTCCTAGACAAGGAGGGGTAGTGCATCCTTTGGATAAGAATAAGGGAATTGTGTAAAGCAAAAATTGTAGACTGGCTGTGACAACGGTGCCTGTAGGAAGAAATGTATTTACAAAAAAAGCTTTTGGAATGTCAAGACCCTCAGCCAGAATACAAACATCTTTTCTCCTTCTCATCTCCATTTTTGTCTCTTAAAAGGTACCTTCTATCTAAGGATATTTGACAGAAAGCAGCTAGAATGAAGGACTGAAGGGTGACAGGACAGAAGAACAGAGTTGGTCATGACTTTGTGAATACCACTGCTGACCACAGAGAAAGGAAGTATCTAATGTCGTGGCTCCCCACACCTCCACGGTGCTCTGCTCTAACATGGCCATGTTCTGACTCATTTAATGAGTACTCTGGAATAACTGGTCAAATGATGTCAGCTGTCTGTTTCTCATCCTTTGCTTTAATCTCTCCCATTCAATCACTGTCTTAAAGAAGAAACAATCCCTTCCCCCTCCCCCCTCAAAAAAAGGGGGGGGGGGGAAGTAAAAATCAAAGAAAACTTCAGGTTATTTTTGCAGACTGTATCAGATACCACACATCTACTAAGATGTTTCTGAAGCACTTTCAGTAGAAGTTAAAAAGCATCCGCTTTTCTAGTTACTCTTTTTCCTAGCTTGGCTTGCTGCTCAGCCTTTCCATCAGTAGTGTCTTGGGGTTAGCAACAAACCCCAAGGCCAGCGTCTGAGCATGGTGCCATATTATCATTTTTCTGCTGAGAATGATGACTTCAACGTGCCCACAAGTATGAGACAAAATAGTCCTTGTTAGGTAGCAGAACCAGGTAAAAGCTCACGTATGACTTCTCTGTGGTTCGTGCATTCCACTTAACTTCTAGCTCAGCATGTAATATAAAGTGTAAAGCACTATATTTCAGCATACAGGTATGTAAGTGCTTGGCCCAGTGGATTCTTGTGTGCACAGAATTGTGAATTGTACATGGCTATGAGTACTGCAAGTGCAATGATCAAAACTTTTCCTGACCCTTAGCTGTCTCTTGTAAATTCCTATTACAGGCATTTGAGTCAAAACAAATAATTCATTTCTTCCACAGCTCCTCTGTCTCTCATGTGAAATTTCCATTTAAGTGGCTGGTGATTGTACATCCTATCAGTGCTGCCTGCAGGATGCCCTCTGATTTAAATAGGTTTGTGCCAGTTTTCTCTAGCCTTCTATTTAAGCCAAAGGGCATGATAATGTATGTGGGTAAAACGTGCCTGGAAAGTGGGAATAAGAAAATCTCAGAGTTTGAATGTCCAGAATTGCTGTTTCCCCTTTGAGCAAACAATCAATTAAGTCCTCCACACCGCAGTTATCTTTTATTGTCTGCACATGTGTTTGACCTCAAATCCCTATTCAAGGATAAAAAGGGACATGATCTCACAATGAGCCTCATACTTTTCAAATCTAGAAGGTGGTCACAGGGGAGCTGAATAATATTGATGCTGTAGCTCTGAATCACGCTTTCTGTGGTAGACAAAGCTTAGCCCACATAGCATGCATGTATATGTAAACACCTTTAGATTCAGTTTCAGAAGAAAAGCATGACTGAAAATGTTGTCTTTCTGCACGACCTCCAATGTGCCAAATCCCTGCTCCTCTCTGTATGATACAGCTACAGGGAGACCTGGGCCCAGAGGGAGACAGCCCAAATGAGAGTGAGGGAGAGAAAGACTGTATGAGAATAGATGAATTTGGACAGCAATCAAACTGTTGTGGTTTTTTGTTTTGTTTTGCTTTCCCCCCCTTTGTATTTTAATTACAGAGTTTTAAATATTCTCAATGTGGGGAGGAAATATGCATGTCTGTGAGTATTTGATCTGTCACTGACTCTGTCTATGTCTGCAACCACATTACCATGGGGAGATTCTTGGGTTCTTTAGGAAGAGCAGAGGAGATGAAATGAGATACAATATGCTGGAGTCTGGCACAAAGAACTGAATAGAACTGGCCAATAGCCAAATGTTTTCATTTCTGGCAGAAAGGCATTAAATGAGACACTGACTGCATTTAATTGGGCAGTTTTCTGATTAAATAAATAAATAAAGCTGTACATGTGCTTTACATATTTACATATGTATTTTGCCATTCTTAAATACTTTTCTCATTCCCAATCTGTTGGAATCTATTTAAAATTTGTCATAAGGTTGGAAACAAAAATGAAAGAGGAGGAAATTTATTTCAGGATTTATTTGCTGAGGCTGACTTAAAGAAATGCAAGGGAGGAGGGTCAACAAATCTTTCACTGAAATTTGTCTCCATTCACTGGAGGAGTGATGCTGGAGATGCCCATGTAATTATTTTATACAGTGGGATAAGTGGTTTTCTGGGGGCCCAAAAGAACATGTGTGTATACATATTTATATACCCACAAGAATTTGCCTTTTTGATCTTTTGTTTGCCTATTGACGGATCCCTTTGCCTGTTCCATTCCTTCTGCAGTCCACACAAAATGCACGAAGGCGTATGTTTTGGTTTTCCTGATATCTTTACACTGTTTGCTTACTTGCAGAAACTGTCTGAGGAAAAAGATCAGTATAAGAGTATAAGATGGGTGGACAGAATAGGGTTTATGTGAGTGTGCTAAATTGGTCAGGTTATAATTACCTCAAGCTCTTATGCATGCTTACATAATATGCGTGCAACTTAATAAGTTTCTAAATTGCCCATGGAAATCTTCATTGAAACCATAGATGACTCTGGCAGCTCACTTGCCTGAGACACATATGCTGTAGATCAAGCAGTAGAGCATTATTGAAATTGTATTTTGTTCATCAGGAGGGCCAAAAAAGCTTTCAGTGTTTTAACAGCAAAATTATCTACAAGGATTATTCTGCCATGTTAAAACGAATTTTCAACTTTCATTACTATTTTCTCCTTTGCTAAAAATGCTGGTCACCCAGGGACAGGTTATCACATGAACACTTGATTTACTAACTAAAGTATAACCTCTGAAATAACAGACAGTTAAGGAAAGCCCTTGGTAAACAAGGGTTGCTGAAATGGCTAGATCTCTAGCTTACTTCCCTTTCCCTAGCAGTCTAAACTCTACCTGTATCTTAATGAATATCACTAGATTCAAGCTGTAGATCTCCCAATCCAGCTACCTCTTCTCAGGTTCAACGTTTGTTGTGTCTATTCTATTCTGTGCAGTTTGTGTCCTTTTATCTACCAGTATCTTCTCTGTATTTAAATCAATATCCTATGCCTACATTATCTGCTGACACAATTCCTGTGGGGTCATTTCCATTTCTACTAAATTCAAGCAAATGGGTTATAAAAGGCCACCAATTTAGAATGATGGCATTCACACCGATTTTTTTTCCCCAGATAGTGGTGACTGTCTAAGCTGCAGAGCAGAGAAAAATCAAATCCTCAGATTCTCAAGTCAGTATATTCAAGTGACCCCTGACTGCACTGTACTTCATAGTACTTCACTTGCTTTTGGCACTAGTGACATGTCTGCAGAACTTCTCATATCTAAATCCCACTGTATTCTCTACAGTTGATTTAATGAACCCCCACTGGTTACTGGAAGACTAGTATCAACATTGATTCACAGTGAAATTTAACATACCTAGGCTGAGCAGATGCTACCATTTCAGAACACGTATATATCTATAGCTATAGCCAGGTGTGTGTGCATCGATAGCTACTTAAGTGAAAAATTTTACTGGCTTCCCTGGAAAAGCTAGTTTTAGGAAAATTATAGCCTTTTAGTTTTATCCAATGGTCTGCTGCTGTAGAATGCTTGAGTTAAAAAACAGCAGGTGTTTAGAGATAAAAATTATACTAATAGCAGAGGTTTGCTGAGATCAGAAGCAAAGTCTCTGACTGCACCTAAGTGGGCACTGTATCCAACTTCAAAGAGCTGAAGAAAGGGAGGCCATGAGGCATTAGACTGATGAAAAGTAGCAGCTTACTTCTGTGGGTTTACATCAGATTAGCTGAGCTGATTTCAGAACAACTCAAAATATACTTTAACATTTCTCATTCGCTTATCTAAGAACTGGGACTGAGGGTACTTTTAGATGATTTCTGACAGGATATAACAGTTGTAACTCCCTAACCATTCATGTACCTGTATATTAGTTTCAATTTAGGATTTACTCTCAGACGAGCTAAATATTCCCAGAGCTGGGGTATTTTCTTCTGGGATAGGAGAGAGCTCCTGCTCGGCATATATGGAACAAGCACTTGGGAAATCACACTTCCCAGTCACAGCTGGTCAGTATTTGTTGGGGAAGTAAATGGCAGCATCCCTTGAGGTCAGACCTGCTTTTCCTTAGCATATGGTATGTTTGTGGACTACCTTAGAGAATATGTTATTTCATGAGGTGCTGTTCCATGGTCTGATCTGTCACCTGCATAATGGCAGCACTCATGGCATTAAGAGGCAGCAAAACTAGGTAGTCAGTGCAGAGGAGAACTTGAGCCACAGCATCTCACAGAACACACTGCAGTACTCATGGTTTGAGGAGAAGGATGCAGTCCAAAGAAGCATCTATAGCTGAGACGCAAAGCTTTGTTGACAGATCAATTGCCATAGTGTTCTCATGTTGAT